GATACATCGACAATCTTGAGCATGATACCATGGATCCTGATATGGAGGAACATTTTCGAGAACTCATGAACCAATGGAAGAAAGATGATGACAGCATCAAGGAGAAACTTGAAGAGATGGAAGGTAATATGAACTTTATTTTGATACTTTTAGACAGTTACTAAGAATTCTATTCCACGGTTTAGGGGTAATTGAATCTGAATGACGCAAGTTCTTTTGTAGGTAAGGCAAGAAGTGTATAAAGCTAGAAGCCCACATGTCTTAGGATGATTTGCATTTTCGCATTTTGACATTTTCGAAGTGTCTGTGAATAGGATTTAGATAAAGTTTTGAACGAGTAGTAGATTTATACTTAAACAAGTAGATTATTCGCGCTCAATTTCTATGCGTGATAGTTGACTCGGGCTGCGCCCTCTTCAAGTATCGCGCGATAGAAATCTCGAGCTCATAATCTAATTGCTTATTATTTGCGCAGATAAGGTCTAAACCACGTAGACAAATTTAAAATAAATTTTATTCTTCAGAAAGCATCAGGGACCAATTAGAGCAGATGAAAAGTGAAATGGAAAGCAATATCAGAGGTGAAATGAAAGAAATGAAGGAAAGACTGGACACCTTGACGGCCTCGTTGGATGAGAACAAAGATGAAGGTCAGTTGTATGGGAAACTTACAAAGATAAACACAAGTTTGCAATTGTCCCAGAAAGGTTACGCTATCAGTTCAACATGTGTGCAACCTTTTCGCTCCGTAATGTGGCGAACTTGATCGAGCGTCTTGTCGGGCCAATTTTTCTCTGTAGCGATCTTTGAAGGTCGTCAAACTATCATCGCTTTGTATCATTCGGTGCCAGGAAAACACGACAGGAGTTTAAACAAAATGGCTATTGGGTTATCCAAAGTCTAATTGTTAAATAAAAACTTCCGTCTTTATATAAACAATATAGCCTCCATTTGGCGCGCAATTATGCTCAGATATTTGTCCGCGGACGTTATCTGTTCTGAGAAGCGAACAGTTTTCCCAGAGCGTAGGTCGAGGGAAACTGTGAGCTTTGGGGAACAGATAATGTTCAAGGAGAAATATCCGAGCATATTTTTAATGTAAAATGGAGGCTTTTGTGTTTATTATCCTTCAAATATTTTGCGCAGCCCGCGCAGTTTTGAAAATTGGGGAGTATTGTTGGATATTCCCCAGGTTTAACTGGGGAATATTCGGTCACGTGACGCGTTTAGACCAATCGCGCGCGAGCGAAAATATTTGATGGATTATAACATTAATTATTCTTAAGTTTCTGGTAAATATTCATCTCGGCTCGATGTATCAGACACCTAACTCGACCTATTTTTTCTATTTCTAATTGAGCTTAAGCCGAAGTAAATTTTTATCTTCAGAAAACATCGGGGACAAATTACAGCAGATGAACAGTGAAATGAAAAACAACATCCGAAGTGAAATGAAAGAAATGAAGGA